ATGCATATTATTTGGAATGCGCTTTTTGAGGCAGACAATCTTGGAAAGGAGGGGGGGAATGACATTCTGACATATGGTGAAAGGGGTGCATGGGGCAAACAAGGTTGAGAACCACTGGTTTAACAGAATAATGTCTGGGTCTAATTGATAGTATAAGTTAGACAGTTCGTTACGTCTATTAAGAGACCAGTATAGGACATTATGTTGGACAATTTTCATCCTGCTAACGACTGCCATTTCGGAGACTGTAGTTTGGGGCGTCGCTTGAAGTGTTGCTTGACTTCTGCCATTTCTAGGGGGACGGAACTTCTTAGCAGAACCTTCGGACATCTGCTTGTCAGTTAATGGCGGGCCCTCGAACTTCTCGTCACCCATCTACAGGAAGGTGTTCAGGTCCTGGGCCTGCTTGTCGAAGTAATCTACTGACGCTGTGGAATAAGTCGCCATCAACTGGTCGCAACCATTGACTGTGGTTGCAGTCCGATGGTCACTGTCGTCGCTGGGAGTACATGTATTGGGGTCACGGAGATTTACGGTGTCGTTGGAGCTGTAATCCCAGGGGGACTGATCGGCCACGTCTTAATACTGATCCATCGCAATATATATGTTCAGTGTTTCGCCGGGTAAAATTATTTATTTTCTCTTAAAAGACATTTCGTAAATAACTGGGATGCCAATCATCCTTTTTCCCCCTCAAGCTAAAAAAAATATCTACTGCAATGCATCCTTCCTGTCATGGTCTAAACCTTAAATAAGTTTGTAATGAAATGCAATATTTATCTACTCCATACTCCATAATATTATACAATAGCCTTGCATACTTGGGCACATTGCCAAGATCTGTTCTTTAATTTAAGCACATTATTGACACATGACATAAAGGCTAGTGACAGGGAGGAAGGAGATTCAGGGAAAGATAAAGGGAGGATGGAAGTGAATTTTAGAAGGAGAGGAAAGGTGCAATGGCTTAAACACCGCGTGAGGGGGTAGGCAATGTGCCCAGATGGGTGGGTGGTGCTGCAACACACTGCCAGGACGAGGCCGAGGGGGCGGGGGGGGGGAGGGGCGGGAGTAGGATTGGGCTGTCAACGGGCCAAGCGTGGGTGCTCTGGTCGTCGTCAAGTGCTCAGGCTGTGTTGGCGAAGCGGAGGAAGAATCGTCCCGTCACGGCGGCGGCGCAAGCCGAGAACCGCAAGTGGACGGACGCACGGACACCATTCACTCAAAGAAAGACAAGGAAGAGGAAACGGAATGTAGATAGTTGTAGAGTTGTTTGAAGAAAGGTGAAGGTAAAGTCTTTAAGCTATGTCAAAGAGGAACGGAGCGAGTTGGAGGAAGAGTTTTGAATCTTTGAGTTTGAAATGTCAAAGTATTCGTAGCAAGGAAGGATGAGCGTATCGCAGGAAAGTTTTTAGTAATAGCAAAAGACAGATTTGAGCTTTTTTGTCAAATTATGAACGGAGATTAGAATGAGATTTCTTTTTTTTTTGGGGGAGTTGTGTATATAGGTTGTTTGGTTTTAATTGTAATCAGGGGGCTGGGCTTATGGTGTCGGTAAGTTGACTTGTGGAGTAACCTTGCTGATTATCTCTTCCCTTATGTCCACATTTCCGGTCCCCCAAAACAATGATGGTTTGTCAGATTTCATTACTGTATTATTTTCAACCTTCTTTCCTTTTAGTTGAACAGCCACATTTCCATGTTCACAAAAATGAACAATTACCATCTGGTTGTCCTCTACCTTTTTTCCTTTTTTTCTAATCCTCTGAATCTCTTGCCTCAGTTGAACTACTAAACCATACACATCACCAAACTTGTCAATTACCTTATCTTCTGGAACAACTTTGGTGCAGCTCCTGCACCATTTCCTGTTACCTTCAACGTGCCACTCTGTTCCATCCTCTTCTTCCACACGTTCTCAGTTGAAGTTAGAGTTGTCTCGCCTGCAACTTCTCGTCCTTCCTCCAAGGCTGGTAGTACGGTACGGTACGGAATATTTTTCCGTACACTGTACCTGGCTAAAATACCGGACCGTAATTTCGTACCGTACCCCCATTTACTTTTCCGTACCGTACAGTACGGAAAAAATACAGTACTGTAATTCCGTACTTTTATCGTACCATCAGCAAAATATATTTACATCAAAATAATTCTCTATTTGTGAACAATTTGTTACATTACATGTGTGGATTTGAAAGGGAACATTGACGAAGTGACTATAGATGTAAATGTGCCCACATAATATTGTTGCCTTATTACGGAATTTTATTTCTTAGTCTACCTAATTTACAATGAAGCAAAAATATGTGTCATCTTACCAATAACGTGCAATATTAGATAAAGTGCCCCTGCCTGCCTCGGATGACTGCTCCCGACGGCGACAACGACAATGGAAGGAGTGACTGTGGAGAGTTGGAGACACTACTCTCAACTCTCAAGTTATACGTGAATAGTTCGCGTGACGCAACGTGATCAGTACTGACAGTACCAGACTACCAGCTGGCGCCTGGCGGACGGTACTGATCACATAAGTGCACTCACTGAAGCCACCAACGCATTAAACCTTTGAAGATCGATGACACATTTCTTTTCTCTTTTCTGACTATTATTAGATGATTTTATTCAATTTAGGAAGGGTATATGAAAGACAATAGACAGATGGCTAATTCAGCTAGTCTATACTGTTTATTCCCATAAATCCTTCCTAAGCTGCATAAGTGTCTAATGATAGCCAGAATAAGCTGTCAAAATGCGTCACAATCCTGAAGGGGTTAATAATTGCATGATCATGTTTTTAAGCCTGGGGTACGGTACGGAATTTTGTTCATTTTTCCGTTCCTAAATCGTACCGTACCGTACTTCAAGGCAAATATCGTACCGTAATTCCGTACCGTACATTCTGACTTAATATCAACCGTACCGTACCGTACTTCGTACCGTACCGTAATGCCAGCTTTGCCTTCCTCCCTTTCTCGCTGTTGCACTTTCCCCATGCTCTGTCACCGCACACCACGCATGTGTGGCTTCTTATTACAAATTGAGAAACCTGCATTATGCACGCAAAATTGCAACAGCACGGCACAACATATTGCCCATTCTATTGAATTATGGTTTTTTTCCACAGTAACGACACCGACATTCACTTTGACATTTCCAGGCCATATGGCCCCACCTGCTGTGCTTATAACACAAAAGAGGTTGTTCAATAAACTTTGCAATTCTCCTATATCCTATTCCAGAAATGAATATCTTCTCCGGAACGTCTCCCTTCATCAATGTTACCACTTGGTTCTTCTTCTCACCTCGGATTTCGTGTCGCTTTGCCCATACGAATCGTGTACCGTCAAGAAGAAAATCAGGATCCGGTATAACCGGGTACATGAAGGCGATCACCTTGGTTTGGTGTTCTACGTTCTCAGGCACCGTCATTATCACTTCCTTAAATCCTATTGTCGTCAAAAACTTCACCGCCTCATTCCCAGCTACAGTTAGATAGGAATTATTACGACCTTCCTTAAGCAGGGGTTCAAACTATTTATGCTCTCTTCCCAGTGTAGCAGCCCACAGCAACCGCTCTTTGACTGACATGCTTAGATCACTTGGAAAGTTCAACCTCCTCCTACCTGAGCTGTTTCCACCACCCGGGTTGCTCGGTACATTGATACTTTCACAATGATCCAATCGACTAACCTGCTGTGTTTTATTCCCAGCTGAATTCCTTCTGCTTTCTTCTGTGTGTGTGCAGTCCTCTTCTTCCTATCATTCATGATCTCATCACTATCACTTCCTTCACTTTTCTTCGCCAACTCTCGCCTCCTCTTCTTTTCTTTCTTACTAATCACCTCTTGAAAACTGTCTGTCACCTCCATTGTTGTTGGCCGCGGATCATCTGCTTCCGATTCGGTACTTGAAATCCGCAGGTCGTCTTCTAAGCTGTTCAGTAGTGCAAACTTTTCTTCTCTAGCCAAAGCCTTCATAAATTTCTGCCCACCACTTGCCCCAGACATGGTGCAAAGCTTCGGCAGCCAGTGAAAATCGGCAGTGTTGTCGCAGAGTACAAGGCTGACACATCCGACCAGTACGGCCAGCGTTCAAAGAATCACCCTACATACAGCTATGGCCAAATAGTCCGAAACACCATCACGTTCAGTGCACAACAGAGAAACTTTATTATTTACGACCTTTAAGAAACAGCTATATCGCTTTGCATCATTAATTGCACATTTGATAATAATAATAATAATAATAATAATAATAATAATAATAATAATAATAATAATAATAATAATAATAATAATAATAATAATAATAATAACTTTTTTTACCATTTAACCTCACTTTTTAACGCAACTGAAATATGTGGTTTGCTGATTCTATACCGGGCAGCTTCCAACTCAACTCGTGTTGTTCACATCAGGTTTGTATTACAATAAATATTTGGTACTCACTTCCTGATTGTTTTGATTGCTAATTAATTCCTTCAGTACGATGTCTTCTTAACTACTTTTTTCTGGCTATCGCCAGACGAATTAATTCAGCTGGGGGTAGTTCCATATCTTAACCAATGGGTTGAATAAAACTTCACTGTTTCTACAAGATATAAACGCAAACTTGTCCATAATCCATTTGCTCATAAATGCCCCCCTTTGCAAAGGAACACCTTTCTCAGAACATGAATTCATATCTCTCTCATCCAATTGAAACTTTAGTATTTTCATCTGGCTAGTGCTAGACGATTGCGCTCACCTGTTGAGACCCCGTGAAAGCATTGTTCTGCCTTGTATTCTCTCTGATATGTACACTTCCCTCCCTCTTCCCCGCCCCGCCCCCACAGAAAGACACCAACGAACTCCTACACACCCTTACTCTCTCCCTCCCGCTCGCAAGCGAATGCTTCGAATTCACACTTCAGAGTTTGGGGTTCACAACTCGGGGAGAGAGATCATTCGCAACGCGAAGTGGTAAACGCGGGAGTGGAGCAAACTATACCTGGTAGGATACTCGTCCACTGCAGGATTCTTTTTCACCATTGACTAGTACTTGTGTAATTGTATATGGGAATAAAGGTAACAATTTGCTTACAAGAAGAAAAGGGAAGCAATGTATTTCATAGGACAGGAACCTGATTGTTTCATTAGAGTTTTCACCCATTTATGTAATTACACAGCTGCTGCTGAATAATTATGATTGTAAGTGTTCCATATATCACAAGTTTCATTTTAACAAGTATGCTTTAATGACATCGTCCTTCTCCGACAGAAACAATAAGACAACAGAGACGGCAGCATGTTGGCAGACCTGTTGTTGTTGGTAGGGCTGCTCTTCCTGCTGTGGAGGTTCTTCAAGAAGCCTGACGGAATGCCGCCAGGTGAGTGGCTACCCACACCGTTACTCAACAGTTTCTGCGACACCTTGATACCGCTATAGGGTCCATTAACAATCCCTCTTTCAGAACCTTTACAATTTAATTACAATTTTTATTTCTGTGAGGTTACTTTCACTTGCAATGTTTTTACCAAGGTGTTTTATGATGGAAGAATGTCCTATCCTGACCCAAGGCAGGTCAGGACAAAGCCGGCTGGTTTGTGATAGTTTTAATTTGGCGTAATCCTTGCGTTGGGTCTTGAATTATATATACCTTGGTTTTTCTGCGTATGAACCTGGTGACTTATAATTGTAAAACCAATTATTAACTGTGCACTTATAATATTGATTTTACTAAGCTGAAGTATGGTGATAAATGTAATTATGGGGTTTGATGGATGGAGAAAGGTGAACATGAACATGAAATGCTAGTGACAGGGGGGAAGGGGGTTCAGGGGAAGGATAAAGGGAGGATTGAAGTGAATTTTAGGAGGAGAGAATAGGTGCAGTGGCTAAACACCGCTTGCGTGAGGGAGTATAAGTTGGAGGCAGCAGCAACTCGCCTGGACGCGACCAGGAGGCGGCAGAACAGAGTCAGGTTAGCGTCAGCTCAAGCGCCAAGTGCGTGTTGGGTTGGGCCATGGATTCTCAGTGCTTGGTCGGCTTGATTGTGTGTGTTGTTTTCTTGTGTGGAGGAAATGTTTTGGTCTTCTGTCTTGGTATTCTTCTTAGCTTGATGTAGATTTTCTTCTAACTCTCCTCCTCTTCTTGCTCTCTTGCAGTGTCCATTCATTCGTGTTTCGGTCTTGTTGTTCGTCTTCCTCGTGTCTTATGTCCTCATAGGTGTTGAAGAAGTCGGAGACGGTAAGGTTGACCACGTGTGCTTCAGCTCCACGGGCCTCGTGGTGTTCTTGATTCTGTGTGGCGGGTGTCTTTTCTTGAGTTTTCTTTTCTTGGTTTTTCTTTTCTGCTGGTTTTTTCTTGTCTTGGGAGTGTACAGCAAGGAGGGCCTCTCTGTAGCTCAGTTTCTTGTCGAGTCGAGCCTTGGCTATCCTGCATTCCTCCTTCCATTTCGGGCAGGTCCGATCGGTGGAGGAATGTGGGCCGTCACAGGCAGCGCATTTTTTTACTGTGTTGGGGCAGACCGTGTAGCGGTGTCCGGGGCTGCCGCACAGGGAGCAGGTGTCCTCCTGCGCCTCACACTTGTTGACAGTGTGTCCGTAGTAATTGCATTTGTAACAGCGTTTCGGTCTGCAGTAGGGCTTGACTGGCACAGTTACCCACGCCAGTTGAGCCTCCTTGGGTAAGGTTGTATGGTATCCGATGAGAGCAGTGGTGTCGGACAGCTTCTTCACAACTTGGAGTTGCCCCTTGAGGAGCTCACTCAGCTCTGCTTGGTCCACGTGGGCAATTTCGGAGTGGGAGATTACTCCCAGCTTCAGGTTGTCCCACTTGTAGGCAATCATTTTAAATGGAATGCCGTTGATGTCTGGGATCTCCGCGAGCTGTACGGGCATACCCTTCTCGGCGAAGGTGATCTTGATGTCACCATGGAGCTTTAGTCGTTCCACCTTGGTGACCCCCACGATCTCATTAGTTTCAAAGAACTTCTTGAGAACTAGGAGGTTTAATTTCTTGGGGCAGGTCGGCATATCCGGACGTATCCGCGCCACGTTATCAAACTCGTAACCGTTCATGGTGAGAGAGGGTTTGGAGAGTGTGCTCGGAGAAAGGTTGCGGTTGTAGGTTGCGGTTGTGTCTGGTGTGGCCTGTCATGTGGACGTATCAGTAGCGAGTGTGTCGCGTCTTGCCTCTTTCTAGTCTTTTAATTCGAAGGGACGCGCCATAAAAGCAAATGACGGTAGAAATGTGTGTCTTTAATTTGGGCACGAAATATTTAATATAACTAAACATCCATTATTATACTGTCATACATGTGACAAATCATAAACTCGTAACTAACCTCTCGTAACGATTTCTGTAATATACTGTATATTTAGTAATAATAGTTTATCTTCATTCTGCACTTTCTCAAAAGTTTCAGGGTTCTCCATAATTTATATATTCAACTTTATTTTCCAGCAATATGCAGCTGTATTCTTTGTAAAGTTCTATAAGTGAATTCTTTATCAGGGCGCTGGGGACTTCCTCTGATTGGTTACATCCCTCTGACAAGGAAGAGCATACACGATCAGCTGTTCGACTTACACAAGAAGTACGGCGGCATCTATGTGTGAGTATAGTCAAGAATTTTGAAACTATATAAATATAACCAACACAGCGTTAAATTTTTTAACCTCCCAAACGGTGGCATAGCCAAAACCGGCTGGGGAATAAAACACTTTTAAGTTAAACCCTTTGCGCCTTACATAATATTGTGAGATACCACCCGATAATTAAGTAAAACAGTTTATATATAGTCAGTAGGTTATTGTTTGCAACACATTGATTATTTTGAATGTAGATTTTTCTGCTGATTCCCAAAATATTTTTGAGAACTATTTTGTTTTAAATAAATTTAATTTTTATTAAGTTAAGGGTAGGTCTTTTCATTTTCATGTATCGTGTCCCCCAAAATATAAGGGAAACCGTTTTTAATGTAGATTTACTTGCTAGTTTCAAAAAATATATGCAACCTAACCTAAACTTGCCAAGCCTAACATAACCTAATAAAATAATATATAATTTTCCAAAATAATAACTCAAAAAATATATATTTGGAGGAATCAACAGGAAAATCTACATTTAAAAACATATTTTTCTATTTTTGGGGAAAAGCTACATGAAACCTGAAAGACCCAACCATTTAAAATGAAAAAAAATATGCACTTCAATGTTTGTTTTTAACAGACTAACATTTAAGTAGTTATTTAAAGAACATCACGGTACTTCCAAGCTGGTAACTGAGTTAGCAGACGCGACACCACTTTTCCATATGAGTTGGCAATGGTTTCCAGGAACTATTCTGGGATGATCCGAAATTAACACACGAAATATACTGTTACGGGCCCCTTTTTCGCTGCTTCCTAGCTTCCACCGCTAGTTACCAGCGGCCAGCACTAACTGTCCCGCCAGTCTTCGGTGATTTCCCGGGGATAGGTATCAGCGTACAGACAGAACAACAGGCGGGAAGATTTCCACCAGGTCACAGAAACACAATTGTGAGTTGTAGGCCTCTTTAATGATCACTAAGTCTTCACAAAACTGTTCACAGGGTATGTTTTCACAACTGGCCTTCTTACTTCAAATGTATACAGTCTGTACACTACTGTGTACAGTTCCTTAGTCTTTCACTTTGTTTCGCTCATCAGTTCCACAAGGCTTGCGCAACAATTATTTTAGTTGTCACTAGGCATGTATGTGATGGCCCTTGTCTCATCAACAGACGTATTATATAAATGGGTTCTTACATCTGATTTATATTCAGATTTCACCCCTTGTAACTTTCCACTGGCTATTAGGTGACATGTTCAATGCACGTGATAAGGTGTACCCCACGGGAAGCTGTGTCATACTATGCTGAGTAAAGGCATAAGTAGCCTGCTCTCTGGCCACCTGAAGCGAGCAGTAGTTTGATATCCTTGACTAGAGGAAGACGTTATTTGAGAGCTGCAGTGGTTGGCTCCGTCTTCCTTCGAGGGGAACGACGTACCCATACCGTTTTCCCTCGATGGGTCACTACTCATCAATCACTCACATCAACTAATATCGAACGGACGTGATCCACGTTTATATTCATAAACGCTGTCCTCTTTCTCATTCACTCATAAATAGTGGAACTTATGGTTGATCTACACTCAGGAATTATAGACATAATCCTTTTATATTAAAACAAGAAACTTCAATTGGGTTTCGTTACCAAAAGCCCAATTATATTATACGTGTTACCAACCTGGTTAACTGGGAATTAACCAACGTAAAATATACGTAACATGTAATTCACACTCTGAACAGAATCAGGGGACTGACTTCCTAGGCGTCTCGTCAGACGCCTAGAGCATTCTAGCTACATCCAGAGGTTGCACGTCGGAACGAGAAATGGCCTGAGAGTTCTAGAATGATCAAGGCTTACAATGCGTCAGTAAATCATAACATATATGATGCAATACATTCTAGAAAATCTCCCTAAACTTGCCAAAATAGCTGCTGCTTGGGATAGAAAATAATCAAAACACCTAGCTCACAGAAATTCTAATACCAAACTATGTCTCGGCAAAATAATACGATGTATAGAAATCACAATATGAAATGTTCGACTTTGTGATTATTTTTTTAGGTTACTGGTGAATCTATATATTTTGAAATGTAAAATATTGGATCATCTTTACGACTTAAGCAGAGAGAATAGTGGCACTGATAATTTACCAGTTTTACTATGAGGAGCGAAATGTTAAACCAAATACAGTATCTTGTTTTCATTTAGGTAAATATATGCATATAAAGGCATTACTTGTAGCAACACCCATTATGTGGTGGTGACTACACAAAGTAAGAGAATTTAATTAATATCAAGTTAAACTTTTTAACTCACACAAGACGCACAGTGTCTTTTGATTCCAAGAGCTAGCATTTACCCAGATGAGAAGCCAGGATAAGGGATGAAAATATGTTTAGTAGATGAATATTACGACGATGTAGAAAAAAATCGTCGTTTTTGTTTCGTGTCTCATAACTACTTCACAAAACACCATTTTTTTTGCAGATGGAGATTCGGGACGAAGGTAAATGTGATTCTCCACGACTACCAGCTGATCAAAGACGCTTTTACCAGTCAGGACTTCGTCGACAGACCTTCATTGAAATTTCTTCAGTATGGGGAAGAAACTGCCAATGGTAAGTCTATTGGTTTCATTCGATCTCCGAGTCTTCTGGGCTGACAGAGAAGCCGTGGTTGTTCTAGACTCAGTTTGAAGATGAATTTTAACTGGAGAGGGAAACTGTGTGCTGCCTTTAAGTGAAGAGGGAGACTGTGCTGCTAACTTTAGATAAAGAAGGAAACTGTGCTGCTGTCTTTAAGTGGAGAGAGGAAACTGTGCTGCTACCTTTAACTGGAGAAGGAAAGTGTGCTACTGCCTTTAAGTGGAGAGGAATACTGTGTTGCTGCCTTAAAGTGGAGAGTGAAACAGTGCTACTGCCTTTAAGTGGAGAGAAATACTGTGTTGCTGCCTTGAAGTGGAGAGTGAAACTGTGCTACTGCCTTTAACTGGAGAGGCAAACTGTGCTGCTACTATTAAGTGGAGAGGGAAATTTAGATGGTTTATATTCGTGTTAATGGCAACAGAAGTAGGAACGCGTGGGTAGGATACATGGGTCTCACCACAAGACAATATAAACAACATAGTCAGGACTTAAATGGATTTCATTTTAATTCAGGAAAGATTCAGAAATTTATTAAGCCAAACCAACACCTATCCAGGGACAGATTGTGGGTTAGATCAAGTCCCAGTAATGAATTTAGTAAGGCCAAATTTTCAAAAATAAAAAATAAAAACTATGGATAAAACCAAACGGGAGTTAGACAAACTAAAATCAAGGGCAGGGATAAAATATGAAATTGAAACCAAAAATTGATTTTCAGTATTGTTAGATGGTGAATATGATAAACAAGGACCAGCACAACAATTTAATAACTATAAGAAAGTAATGTTAGAGACTGGGGAAAAGTCATAGGACATACGGGAACGAAGCTAAAAGTGAGTGAATGACAAAAGAAATTTTAAAGAAAATAAATACAGGGAGACAAATAAAGATGATAAGAGGAAGTGAGGCTTACAAAGAACTTAAAGAAATAAAAATAAAAATGATGTAAATAGGTATGGCAATACTACATAGAAAAGAAATGCATGTAGATCGAAGAGGATGACAGAAGGCATAACTGTATGGAATTTTACAGAAAAATTAAACATATGAACCCCCAAAAAATAAACAAAAAACAAATTAAAACCAAACACAATGAGATCCTTTTGGAGTCAGAAGATGTAAAATAAAAATGAGCAGCATATGTAGAACTATACAATGATAAGGCTAGAGTAGAGGTAAGAAACAAAAGTAAATAAAGATCGAACTACCAATTCTGGAATCGGAAGTTAGAGCAGCTGTGAGCAAAATGATAAAGCTTGGGGGGTTGATCAGCTTCTAGCAGAATTTAAAAAAAAAGTGGCAAGAATGGGTTAAAATGTTTGACTAAAATATATAATTTTATATATCTCAAAGGAAACCTTTCCCGTGATTTCAAAAAATCAATATTTGTATTGTTACCTATAAAGCCAGGAGCCTCAGAGTACACCCAGTTTAGAACAATAAGCTTAATAAGTCATGGCTGCAAAGTTTTATTAAACGTAATTTTAAGTAGATTTTTTTGTTAAATAGAAAGCGAGTTATGTGAACAGAAAAACAGAGCAAAAAGAACTAGAAAAGCTATATTTGGTTTGAGAATTATGAGTGAAAGGGCTTAGAGGTCCACGATTTGTTTATATCTGCTTTGTTGATTTTTAAATAGCTTTTCATAAGGTAAAGAACAATAGTCATTAATGAAAGATTTTAGAATTTTAAAGAATCTTTACTGGCATCAAGAAGCTGCAGTGTTAGTAAGCAATGAACTTATCAATTAGTTCACAGTTAGACGGAGTAAGGCAAGGCTGTGTTCTATCTCCGATGTTGTATAATATATATTCAGAATTCTTAATGAGAGAAGTTATAAATGATAAATAAAGACTAAGAGTTAATGGTAAAGTAATATCAAATTACGCTATGCAGATGATAATACCCTTATCACAGATAGTGAAGAGGTATTACAAAAACTGGTGAATAGAATAGCGGGAAAAGTTGAAAAATATGGGGTAAGAGTTCAATTTCAATTTCAATTGTTTATTCCTTGATACAGGAAGCGGGATCCTAGTGCTGTCACTAGGTACCCCTGTACAATGACACCAGAAGCATCTGGCAAGTGTGACAAGTATAGACAGTATAAATATTATAAAGGGGCTTACTAAAGCCTAAGGAAGGAAGGATATTCCTTTAACACCTTATCAAGGTTATTTACAAAATATCTGGCCAGTATGGGGAGGATCATCGTGTCTCCGTCAGGGGGTCGTGGAGTGGTGGTCCAGCAGGCGTCACGGAAGCGTTGTGTGTGGGGACATCTTAGGAGGTAGTGGATAAGGGTGCTGCTGTCGGGTCTTCTGCATAATGCACAAGAGCGTTGCTCAGGGGATGCGGGGATAACAATCTCCCAAGCAAAGTCATACCCAATGATGATACGGGCAGCAATCACGTCCCCTTTCCGCGACCCTTTCCCATAGACGTATGAGAGGTCAGGAAGTTTACGGAGGACATCGTGCCACGTGGGCGGGGAGTCCACGGGGATGGCTGCTTCCCGAGCTTCTCTCTGTTTGCGGGGAATTTGGATCCTAAGCTGTGAAAGTGTTCGAGGAACAGCGTAGTCAGGTGTGGTCTTGTTGCAGCCAGTCTTGGCAAGGCCATCTGCTGCCTCATTCCCCAAGATACCGACATGACTGGGTATCCATAGGAATGTCACAGGACGGCCTGCATCCTGAAGTGTGGATGTTAACCCTCGTATTCGGAGGATGAGGTCCTTATTTTCCCCTGGTCCAAATGCGATCCCTTCGAGAGCAGACCTGGAATCGCAGCAGACAAGCAAGGGGCAGAAACCATCTGCTTCTTCCTCAGCGAGAAGGGCAGCAAGGAGGGCTATTAGTTCTGCCTGAGTGGAGAATGCCCCGTCAGAAACTCTGAGAGACAGTTTGACAGGCTCAGGGGCATCAGCACGGGAAATGTAGACACCAGCCCCGGCCCTACCTGTAGCGGGGTCAACAGAACCATCAGTGTAGAGGACGACCCTACCTGGGGACCAGTGGGCGATCCTGGAGAGGTGGTATTTGCAGAGAATAACAGGGTTCACCTGGGATTTCGGGAGCGGTCCACCGAGGGCAATCACTTCAGGTTGAAAATCCAGCCAGGGAGAAGGAGACGAACCAATAGCAGGGGTGACAGCAATATCAGGCAGGAGGTAGTGTTCCTGAAGGGCTCGGATGAATGACCCTCGCCACTGTCTTCTAGATGGAGGTCGGTCTCGGACAGCAGGAGTCAAGTTGGTTTGGACATAGTTGCCCCGAGGATCCCGTAGAATGGAAACGGCAGTTTTTAGGTAAAACTCCTGGACACGATCCTGTAAGGGGGAAAGACCAAGTTCGGTATATAGAGACGTAGAGCGTGTCCACTGAGGAGCCCCAAGGATGATACGAGCAGCTTTCCTCTGGATAACTTCGAGACGGTTGACAGCAGTCCGACTAATGTTGACGAGGGCAGGGGCGGCGTAGTCGACACAGGAACGGACAAAGGACTTGTACATGGTGAGAAGTACAGGGATGGAGGCACCAAGGGAACCCCTGCACATGGTAGAGAGGGGAGCGAGACACCGAAAGCATATGTCTCGAAGATAGCGGACTTCAGGGATCTGACAACGTGTGCGAGTTACATACACACCCAGGTATTTTGTCTCATTAACCCAGTCCAAGGGCGTTCCTGATAAGAGAAGGGGTGGAGGTACAACACGACAGTGCCACATGGCTTTTGTTTTCGCAGTTGAAAGAAGGAAACCAAGTGAATCACACTCTCTGGAGACCAGATCAAGGGCTTCCTGCATGCTGAGGTAGTAAGGGGCTTGGAATAGGACATCGTCAGCATATCCTGAGTGGACAACTTCTGTCGGCCACGGGAGAGATGCAATGGAGTGCATGAGAGTGTTAAACAAGGTGGGACTCAGGACTCCACCTTGAGGGGTGCCGAGGTTCATTTCTTGAACAGGAGACATAGAGCCTTCAACGCGAACCCAGGCCTGACGTCCAGTGAGGTAAGAGGCGATCCATTGTAGAAGTCTCCCTTTAACCCCTAACCGCGCAAGTTCAGCTAAAATGAGGGCGGGCTGAGCCGTATCAAAGGCTCCCTTGACATCAAAGAAGTCGAAGATGCTGGCAGTCTGATTGCAATAAAAGGAAGCAATGGAGTGTGCTGTGCTGCGATGTTGAATGAAACCACTAAGGGAGTTGTGGAAGCCGCCTATGGTGTGAAGAAGGCGACGATGGAGTATCCTCTCCATCATCTTGCAAACACAGGAGGTAAGACTAATGGGTCGATATTTCCCAGGATTTCCCGGCTTAGGGATGGGGATAATAGTGGCATTTTTCCAGTTGGACGGGAGAACCCCATGTTCATAAGACATATTGTAGAGAGCAAGCAAGGGGCCGTTAGGAATATTAGTACAGGCGTTGAGGACGGAGTAGGTTATCTGATCATTCCCAGGGGAGGTGTCTTTTCTAGAGCGACGAGCACTGTCAAGCTCGAACTGTGTGATGGGATGATCAGTGGGGGCAGGGGAGGTAAGGGAAGCACGAACAACAGGCTCAGACGCATCGATGCGAGCCTGCACTGCCTCCTGCATTGGATCTGGAAGTGCCTCAGGAGAGGAAGCTCGTGCCCAGTCCTCCATTAAAGAGCAGGCAAGGGAGGCGGGGTCAGGGTGGGGAGGAGGCCTCCGTCGAGTACCCCGTATAGCATTAATCCGATTCCATACATAAGAGGGTGACGACTGGAACGATAGAGACCCCGTGAAGGATAGCCAGTCCTCCTCACGTATCCGACGGCGCTCCTGAGTTGCAAAGGAGCACCAATTTATGAAGTCTTCCCAGTCCTCTGGAGACCGAGATCTCCGTATGGCAGAGTGGAGATCGCGGGTTACCTGCCGGAGATGTCTCATGGCAGGGATACGATACCAGTAGTTGGTGGCACTTCTGGGGTGACGGGGAGGGCGTGGAGGTGTAGCGCGATTGACAGAGTCATACACGGCATCAACAAAATCAGCGCTGTAAGAGTCAAGGGACTGGGGGACAACATAGGAATCCGCCCAGGTAGAAAGGTATTGGGTAAAGGAAGGAACAGCATCTTGTGTGAGACGAAGGCGAGGGGATCGATAAGGAGCTGATGTCGGGGCAGAGAAGGAGAGCCTGAGATGGGTAGTAACGGCAAGATGGTCACTATACAGAGCAGGCTCGGTGCAGACGGTAGGATGAAAGGAGGTAATACCGTTCAATAGTAAGCCAACATCAAGGAAACTATGGGGGAGGCGAGTAGGATCGTCAGGACAAAGAAAGCGAACATCATCATCCCCATTAAGAAACTGTGAGAGATGTGAGCCGTTAAGGGTACATGGCGTGGGATGATCCGGAGTAAGAGTGGGATGGCGGGCATTAAAGTCGCCAAGAACAATAGTGGGAATCCCATCATGGAGGTCGTGAAGAACCTGGGGGTCCAGAGAATCACTCTTGAAATGAACATTGACTACACGAAGGGTCCGGTCACCAAGAGTAAGGGAGACAGAAAGTAATTCAGACGGGGGTCCATGTGAGCCAGGTGAAGGGAGACGAACAGATGGAATGGTGTTACGCACAAGGGTGAGGAGGCCACGAGCCTGCCCACGGTACCGAGGCAGGGTGTAAACAGTATAGCCAGAGAGGCGGAGTGGAGTAACATCGTCTGTGATGGTTTCCTGAAGTAGAGCAACATCTACTTGATGGGAGAGCACAAACTAGGCGAGGTCTGTCCGGCGAGGTCTAAGTCCCTGGATGTTCCATTGTAAGAAGAGGAGGGAACGGCCTCCGGTGTGAGATGAGTCGGAGGGGCTAGACAGGGCTCCAGAGGAGGTACCAAATTCTGTTGAGAAAAATGGAGAGGGAGGAGTGGGAGAGCGAGGGATGGATCCTCCACCTCGGGAGATGGAAGGAGGAGGGTCATCAGGGCTTGCAAAGTGCGCCCCTGTTGGGTCAGGGTGTCCAGAATGAGTTGTTGTTGCCTCTGCAATGTCGCAATTGTTTTCACAAACAAGTCGAGTTGGGCAGAGAGAAGGTTGATTTGCTTGGAGTGGCGATCCAGACGGAGAGTGATTGTTTCCATAGAACCAACTTGGTGTACCTGTACAGGAGCTGGAGGTGCCGGCGAGGATTGCCGAGGGCCCGACTGGGCATGTGGTGATGGTAGCGACGGAGAGGGACGGTGAGGGTTCAGTTGAGTAAGAGGTGGTGGTGCTGGTGAGAGACAGCGGGGGTCCGGGTGGGCAGAAGATGGTGGTGACTTTGTGGCAGGGCCGGCAACGACCATGTTCCAAGAGCGGTAGGGAGAGGGAGGGAGGGGAAAAAGGATGGGTGGTAGGGGTGATAGGGGAGATGGTAGAGGAGAGGAGATCAATGGGAAATACCTTGGTGGATGGAAGAGGCGGTGGTGGATAGGAGTGAGGTTTGGTTGACAGGGGTTTCGTCAGAGACGAGGGCGGTGGTACAAGGTAAGTTTTCCCCGGGCGAGTGCCAGGACGCTGTGGGCAATTGGCATTCCAGGCGTGGTGACTGCCATTGCAATTGACACACCGTGGAATAACTGGGATTTTGTTCTGAATTTTCGATTTGCATTCCACTGTTTCGTGAGGATCAGCACAGAAACCGCAGGCGACCATCCTCGTGCACTCCCAGGTGCGGTGTTTCCACGATTGGCAACGACCACAGATTTTCGGGGTTCCGATAAATCGGTCGAGAGGACAGTTGTGAAAAGGTCCTACATTCACCTTCGGAGGGAGGGGGCCCACCCACCAGCCGATGAGTTCGTTGGATGGACGTTTGGAGACCGGGTTGATGAGGCGTTCCATGTCCAGTAGTTGTGGAAGAAGAGGGCGAAGATCGTCGATAGGGATCTCCCAGGGTACGTGGCGAACCATTACCTTGGTACGACGAGTTTCTGGGGTGATGATGGTGAACTTCAGCATCACCTCCCCCTGGGGAGCAGGAAAGCCCACCTGAGTGAGCAGGCGTACCGTCTCGTCCATTTGTGTGGTGACTATCACGACTGTGGGACCTCGGCGGAGGCGAAGTGTTGAGTCCTGAAGTGGAGAGCAGTGACGGAAGAACCAGGTCGTCCGTGTGCTCAGAGGCAAGTCCCGAGGAAAGGCGAGACGACGAAGGCGTGACGGGGCAGGGAGACAAAGGGAATCCCCTATGTCCATCGTCGGCGGAGGGTCGGTCATTGAGCCACATGTAAGCTCACTTGGGAACCCCGATGACAGGAGGAGTCCACCCTCTACAGCCCCAGAAGGGGTGCAAGGGGGAGCCGTGGCCCCTGCTGGAGACCCTGACTTCTGAGGTTTCTGCTTCTTCTTTGACGTGTCTTCAAGAAGAAAGTCGTCAGCATCACTGTCACCTACTGCCGCCGTTTCCAATGAACGGGAGCGTTTAACGGCGAGCATAGGGCACCTTGGCAACACAGCAGTCAGATGGAGTGGTAATGACGTCACTGCTACGTCACACTATCACATTGCGCATGCGCAAACTTGAAAAACTTTGCTCAGAGGGATCGGGTGGTAGGACCAGATGCTTTATCCCCAAAAAATGACAAAGTCGAAAAGTAAAAAAAAAATATATGCCACTGTGCTGATAACTGGGTCTTACTATAGTTGTCTGCACAGGCTGGGATTGGTAGACTCGCTGAATTCGTCAGAAATACGAATTTTAAGGAGCAGTCTCTTACAGCCTTTGTTGACACTACGCACGCATGCGCGTTCCTGGGTAAGAGTTAATGCTGTAAAGGCGAAAGTAATGGTTTTTTCCAAATTGGAAATAAATCCTAAAATAAAAATTATGATAGGCAACAGGGAACTCATAGATGTGGAAAATTGTGTTTATTTGGAAAGCAACATCAGCTGTGATGATAGATGTTCGGAAAAAATCAAAACAAGAATAAGGCAAGCAAAAACAGCAATTAATAATTCAAAAGACTGTGGTTACCAACCCTCAGATATGAGGATGGTACTCTGATTGAATGGCATTTCATCTTCCTTCTTTCTTGTAAGTAATTAACAATTCATTATCATTCCTTAATAGTAATTTATAGTCAACTATTCAACGGGATTTGTAACGCATGTGTCAATACACTTACAAAATTCTTTATATTCTTGATTTAGTTATTTGAATTATTACATAAGGCTAGAATCAAACTACCCCAAACAATCTATGATTATGCTTCGGACAAAATATACTTCCTTCCTTTCAGATATAAATATATGCGTATTTTTTGTTTTGTCTTTGGGTAAATATTTGAGTTCTTACTTCATTATTTAGCTGTACTTCAATCTTTTTTTTTTTCAGGGACGACTTATCATAGTTTCAAACCATCAGTATAAATTTGAAACTTTTGTCTTTCTGAATATGATTTACGCCTAACTATGGTTTACAATAACACAAATTGCTTCATTGCTACAGTCACCATGTGAATGGTTAGCTTATGTCACCTAAGTCACCATCACTCGTAGAAACACTTTATCTTGTCACACTATCACTAGCAAGCGAGTTTCCATGTCTTTACGTATTTTCTTTCAAAAGTTGTTGTAATCTGTCAAGATTAATAATTCTCTGTGAACTATGCTGCACGATTCTCAGATTAAAGCAAAGAAACATTAAGACAAAAACTACGATTTTCTTATAAAGAACAAAATAAATTTTTATTCTGGATAATCACTCTTACTTTTTTCACATTACAAGTACTTTTCCTAAAATAAATTTGAAGCTTCTGTAACTCCTTTTTCTGTGTTGGTGACGCTTACAGGTTTGATAGCAACTAACGGGTCTCTGTGGCACAATAATCGGCGCTTCGCTCTGCGTCAACTGAGAGACCTGGGAATGGGTAAGTTCAAGCTGGTGGCGGCGATGCAGCGGCAGGGCACACAGCTGGTGCAGCAGCTCAAGAAACAAGCAGGAAGACCAGCACCGTTGCCTCACGCCCTTCATGTCGCTGTTCTTAACGTCATCTGGCAGATGGTCGGCGGTGAGTAATCGCTGGATATGTTCATGTGAATATCTCTTTACATGTCCCACCAAACTTAAAATTTTCTTGCCTTTGGAAAGTTTGTTATTTGTGCAAAATGCCTTGTGAGTCTTAGAATGACAATTTACAATATACTGTCGGTGGGGGTTGGGTTTGTAAAACTAGCACCGAGATGAAATGATTTATATATAGCAGCGCTGAACAAACCAAATGTGTTATCAAGGCGAGGGTTGGGTCAGTCAAGCTTGCCCTGGACATTGATACGGGTGCATGCGCGAATGTAATCCCGTTAACTTATATCAAGAACTTCAACGACGATTCCCTCACCAAACATTTTTAGTCAGACCTACGGACACTGATCTCTTAGGTGTTTCTGGTACGCAGTTGGACGTAACAGGAAAGGTAACATTGCCAATTCGTTTTTCTAAGCGTGGTGAACACTTTTCCGCAGATTTTTATGTAGTCCAAGGCTTTCATTTACCAGCTGACGGGTTAATAGGTCTTCCAACTCTTCAATCCAACTTGATAGATGTTCACTTAAGCATACATTCTTCAACGGTTAACGGTGTTTCCTTCAGTGCCATGCGCAAGTCAGAACAATTGCTCTCCGCAAGGGTGAATATATTGTCCACCGCCCCTACTACGAGGAAGATGTAAGACGACTCTGTGCAAGAACAAGGTCTCGACATCTTCCATTACTGAAAAAGTATGCAGAGACCTCGTTGCTGCTCACACTGAACACTACCAGTAGAGGCGCGCACCTTCCTTGAGGTGAATATACGTAAGACTCACATTCTCTTTCAACCTGCCCCTGGTTCAGACACACCTCCACCATCCATCCAGCTTAACGTTACTACCCTCTCTAATGTTACCCTCTTTCGGTATCTCTGCTCCCACCTGTCCACCACCGCAGACATCGATGAAGAGATTCAGAATCGGATCAGATGTGCATTTCCAACCTTCGGCGGACTCCGAAACCGTGTCTTCAGCTGTAGGGAGCTGAAATTATCTACGAAGCTGCATGTATATCGAGCAGTGGTCCTCCCCACCCTGCTATATAGCAGTGAGACATGGGTCACATACAGGAAGCACCTCAAGGCACTTGAAAACTTTCACCAACGTAGTCTACGTCCCATCCTCCGAGTTTGCTGGGAAGACAAAAGAACAAATGCCAGTATTCCTGCTGACACTTAAGACAAACCTAAAAAGGTGACAAATCGACCTCCTCACCTGGGAGTTGATTACTCCACATCGTAACGCTTGGAGGAGCACCACACGAGAAGGTGTCAATACTTTCGAGTTAGCCCGACTGCAAACCGAGGCAAACAAGCGCCAACGCCGGAAAGACGCTGCCACCGCCCACCCCGCACTAGATGCAGCCCTCCACATGTGCAACGAATGTGGACGACCCTGCGGTTCTCGTATCGGCCTCTTTAGTCACCTCAAAACTCACTAACCTAGGTGACATCCCTAATAACTCATATCAATATCAATATATATATATATATATATATATATATATATATATATATATATATATATATATATATATATATATATATATATATATATATATATATATATATATATGCAAGTAAATCACTGTAGTTGCGCGTGATCCAGGTATATGCTGATAACCACAAGGAAAGAAGAAAACACGAAGTTCCCAAGCGCTTTCGTGTAATTCACATCTTCAGGGGTGAGTACAGACTAAGGAGAAGTACAAAACAAGGTGTATATATACAGAGGAGGGTGAGATCAGGTCCACAATGGTCAGGTATTAGGTAATGACCCTACTAATCTTTAAAAAGCACCGCAATGGTCGGCAGTCAGGCCAGAGGGTAAGGTGACCCAACCTTCTCACCTGGTTGGGAAGATTTTTGAAAGTATGGCCACCAAATCCATAGACGTTCAAAGGATAATCACCGTAATAGTCACTGTAACTGTGAGGGCTAGGGGAAAGATGGAGCTATCACGGATAGGCTCTAAGTACTTCCAACTGTAGTGAGAACTGAGTAGATGCTGCCCTTGGGTCAAGCCCAAGATAGCTGACCTATGGTATTCTGGAGACCCAAAATTATGTGAGAACGAGGAGCCAATCTCCACTTGTTAGGGGGACTGTTCACCAACTAAGTCTTTATTCTTTACTCCTGAATTCATAAATCACGGTTCTTCCTCCATCATACCTGTTACCGAGCACAACGGCACTGGCCCAGAATACACCATTACGTAAATACAGCACATGCATAGCACGAAATAAATCCCTTTGCACCCCCACATCCAGGGTGTAAGAACAACCACGAGGGTCTCGACCTCGCATCAGAACTTGGTTAAGCAACCCCATATACCCATGTTGATGAGAATGGAAGGCACTTCGTAGACTCAGCACAGCTACTCAGAAGTAATTAGTTACTCTCCTCCCTAGTACCATGGGATTTTCTGTCTCCCATAGCCAGTCACTATTCATACTTTACTACATAGAGTACTCTCAGTTGCATCCAGGGGCCGCTGACTCCCGTTACTTGACTTGAGAGTGACAGAGGTAATTCTGCCCGTCCGTCAGATCAACCATACAACCAGGTCAGAAAAGAATAAGTTTCCCTCACACTATCCAGTTTTATCCCTACACATTATACACACTTCTTAGCTGTGGTGTGGGGTAGTCGATGGCTTTACGCCGATCTCAGTGGTTTCCTTCCCTTCCATGTATGCATTTGCACACGCCAAAATCCTGGGAAATCAGGGTAAATTAGGTAGCCAACATAGCTGCTCGCTTCCACAGGGAACCTCGTGAGTCGCCGTGTAACTGATACCACCAGCCTCCAAGCCACCAAGTTAGCTTCACCAAAGCCTAGAATAATCCACCCATTAACCAATATGTATACCCTTGCACATCCCTATCTAAGCACTGAATGCAATTCAACGGAATTTACTTGTGAGCAATGTTGACGTAGCTCACAAGAGTCGTGTCCACGTGGGGCTTCTTTTTCAGAACCGCAGCTGTGACCGCTTTCCATTGATGACATACAGAGTGAGTCCCATGCCCAGGCCTTCAAGTACGCCTCATCCTACCCATTTTCAGGAACTAAGCTTTTCTGCTAAAATCTACAATTCTCTCCTGATTGTTCTTTATTTATTTTTCGGGAAAGATTAGCTCTCTTCTATTATTTATTCACATCTTTAAATCAAGACACGAACGGCCCCCACGGCTTTCTAGTAATTATTTTAATTATTCATGAAATGCGTGACGTCATTCTTCTTATATATTAATTATTTTACTAACGGCACAAGTAGCATCTTCTCGATGGAAAGTTATCCAAGATAACTCTTGTTAATATTATAGTGGGCTTGTAACTTCGTCAACAGCGTATGACTTAGAAAAAATACATTTCTTAGGCCTCGTGGGCGATTGTTGGTTACTTAGTTGCCATGTCCCCCACACCAGGCTTGGTATGCTGCACACAAAGGCTTTGTATAGTCCTGGCCACCCATTTAGCACCTCCGGTCAACTGATAGACTCCTCGTGGCATGAGAAGTACTCATAATTGCCGCCCCACTTATGTTTCCCTTTTCGTTAAATCGGGAATTTTCGATCTAAAATTTCAAAATAATGCAATCGATCACCCCTAAAAAAAGACAGCACTGTCCTCGTGTGTCGAGAGAAAAAAATGTAGGTATACAACTTCCTCAGATGTGTCCCCCTCTATTAACTATTCACTCCCACCCACTGCAACTCACATCTGCAGCATAGCTATCGTTTACTATCCAATACCCCAGTTGCCTTGTTTGGGCCGGGGTTTGATGAAGCTGGGTGAGATAATGGGTAATCTCATGGTGCAGTCGTAGTTTTGAATCGTTGAGTCGTTCCAGCCCACCTGGGTTACACTTGTAATTAGCTTAGCTTGTAAGTTACACAAGTGTACACAGGTCGTTATCTTTATTTGTGGTCTTGGTTTAATGTAAACACACGTGGTGATTTTCGAGTTATATTGGATACTCTGGTAGTTACAGAATTGCTTGTTGACAGACTACTGAGCATTAGCTATTGGCTTGTAATTAGCTGATATAATTAGAGAGAGAGATACAGCCTGGGAGCAATGCTCATACACTTCTCTTTGGTACTGTGTCTGGCTGTGGACTAGCCGACCCTCTCTCTGTCTGGTTGTAGGGGGGAGGTACTTTAGGACGTCAACACAGAGAAGGCTACACTACACAGGCTTACTCTCACAAGGAGGCCTGGGGACATATGTTTATGGGTTGTAACCTGAATCTGTGTGAAACAACAAATGTTTATGTGCTGTCCACCTTAGGAGGTGTGACAGAACAAATGCTTATTTAGATGTATGCTCAATAGTCTGGGTGATAGAATGTATATAATGAATATATGTCTTAGCCCATATTTATATAATACTAATTGATAAGGGCTGGAACACTATCCAATACCCCAGTTACCTGCAAGTCTGGTTAATATTAGCCTTTTCTGTATATATATATATATATATATATATATATATATATATATATATATATATATATATATATATATATATATATATATATATATATATATATATATATATGGAATCGCCGCCCTCGGGCAGCTCTTTCCTTAGAGCCGTAATGAGTGTGCCACCCTCCGGGAGGCTCCACATTGTCTCACTGTAGTGCATTAAGGTGTCTGCTTTGATCTGACTTTGCACTCGTCCAGAGCATGTTTTCCAGGACATTTTTAAATGACTGCACACGTGTTGCGTCATGCAGCATTTCTTGGATAGATAGGACAATGTCATGTCTGACATGAATGTTGCCACCTGATAGTGCTTTTCAAGATCTCCCATGGAGTAGATTTGGAGAACTTTGCTGCTCTTCTTCTAGTGGTAAGAGGATCCTGCTTTGTGATAGACTTGACCTGGACTTTGAATGTGGGCATGCATCCGTGCTCAGAACTACTCTGTTGTCAAAGGATTTCATCTGGAAGCATGAATTGTACTTCCGTATATTTTCAAGTGTTTTGACTCTGGTG